GCATCATGAGTACCTGAGATACAGTAGCCTGGCCCAAACTTTGAAGAGGACCATCAGAGACAGGAGGCCTGCTCAATGTCTAGGGTCTGATGCTATTTTTGTCCTAAATATACACAAAAGGCACAGTTAGCCACCTGCATAGACTCTCCAAACACAGATCAGTGAGTAAGTACCATGGAATGTTGGAAATGACTCCATTGTTATCTTAAAGAAGAAAAATATGCACACTAAGGTCACTTTTTGACATCTTTCTGTGGCAAAGANCTTCCTTAACTGGTTCTGTCCCCTCTGATCATTCCCCTGTGTGTTTATTCCCGCCCTCTCTGCACACATCCTTTATTGTAATTTCCCATCTCTTTCATTCTCTGCCTGCCATCTCATTTTCTAACTCTACTCCCTATAGACCCAATTTTTTCCCTTATTTTTCTCCTATTTTATCTCTGATTAATATTTTGGAGTCATTTTGCAGGCATGTAGAAGCTTCCTGGAAAATAATGTCACTTGATCAACTTACATATTCAAAAGAAAAAGGTGCTATTTGTATTTTCTATTTATTGCATCAGGTTGTGAAAACAGGACTGAGAATGAGGAGTCAACCTCAAAGGCTGAAATCACAGAAGATTCAGCATCACGTGGGGAGACAGCAGGAAGATTCCAAAAAGAGCTTGGAGAGAAACGTGAACAGCAGGGCAGAATAATAGAAAGGCAGCAGAGAAACCCTGAGGAAAAAACTGGCAAAGAGAAGAGAGATTCAGGGCTAGCTACAGTCAAGGAAAAAAAACCCACCACTGGAGAGAGAGGCCCAAGGGAGAAGGGTAAAGGATTGGGAAGAAGCTTCAGTCTGAGTTCAAATTTTAATACCCCTGAAGAAGTTCCAACAGGAGCAAAGTCTCACAGATGTGATGAATGTGGTAAATGCTTCACAAGAAGTTCAAGCCTTATTCGCCATAAAATAATCCACACTGGAGAAAAGCCCTATGAATGTAGTGAGTGTGGGAAAGCCTTCAGTCTTAACTCGAACCTCGTCCTACATCAGAGAATCCATACAGGAGAGAAACCTCATGAATGTAATGAGTGTGGCAAAGCCTTCAGTCACAGTTCAAATCTCATCCTGCATCAGCGCATCCATTCTGGAGAGAAACCTTATGAATGTAATGAGTGTGGGAAGGCCTTCAGCCAGAGCTCAGACCTCACTAAACATCAGAGAATCCACACGGGGGAGAAACCCTATGAATGTAGTGAATGTGGAAAAGCTTTCAACCGAAACTCGTACCTTATTTTGCATCGGAGAATTCACACTCGAGAAAAGCCCTATAAGTGTACTAAGTGTGGCAAGGCCTTTACCCGGAGCTCGACACTCACTCTGCATCACAGAATCCATGCCAGAGAGCGGGCCTCTGAGTACAGCCCAGCTTCCCTTGATGCGTTTGGAGCATTCCTGAAAAGTTGTGTCTAAAGCAAGTGTTTGTCATCCAGCCACTTCCCCCTTTTGTTTCTAAAATTTCAGAGATGTGTGCCCATGGAGGGAAAAAAAGAAAACAGCCTCAACAGATTAAAAAAAAAAAAGGTGACACTTAAGGATCCT